TTCTTGTATTCAAACAGCATTAGATGCCGAATATGTATTTCGCCATGTGCCATCACTATAAGAGATTATGGTATACTTAACTTTACACATTATATAAGTTACACTAACGTGACGTTTAGGCAGTTTATTTAACTACAATACATGATGTACGCTTTTTTTTTGGGGGGGGGGGAGTAGTTAATGAAAGTGTTCCAAAACGCTACATTAATTTCTTGACGACCTAATATATCTCAAGACTGATAATATGATGTACTCACCATTGTGTACTGGTTAATGTCAATCTCTACTTCAACGTTGCGAAATCAATTAAATGTAGCTAATCAGGACAATCAGTTAGCTCCCTGACAGAAGAGAATATAAGTAGTGCCTGCATCTGACGCTGAATACGTAGTACAGCTGTCATGCGCAATAGCTCTGTTCTAAAGGCTCCTCCTTAATAAAATCGACTTTTCAACTGTGCCTCGTGTCTGAGTCAATCGATAATATATAAAAGCGTAGATCCCGCGTTTTAAATAACCTCGTGTCTGAGTCAATCAATAATATATAAAAGCGTAGATCCCGCGTTTTAAATAACCTCGTGTCGTAGTTGCTAAAAAAATTGATAGTCGTGCATAGTTCGGAACTTTTACTGACAATTTCTTGTCGCATGATCACGAGCTCTTGCCGAATTTTAAATCGTGCACCAGGAGCGGATACAGGATTTTCAAAAAGGGTGTGTGACGATGTGCGCCCCTCTGAGAAACTGAAGAACTTTTAATAAATTTGAAATCTCTCTAAGTTCAATTCCTGGCACTTTCCATTGATTTTTGCAAATCCTATTGGCAAATTAACGATAAGAAATTCCGAATTACCAAAACTTTATGCTACCGTTGAGAACATATTTTCTTTCATTTGTGGAGCTGTTTGTTAGAATTAGTATTTTAAAGTGACCCCCTCCCTCCGGAATCAAGCCCACTGATAGGCTGGAAAGAGAGAGATGGAGTATTTGATAGTCTACTGATGAAAAGGACTCCTTCAAGGACTTGTGGTGGGTTTTAAGTGAATCCTAATATCTTGAAAGAAGAGATCCTTTACGTCCATCCTCAACATTTTACACATTACCCTCTTCTACACAGGAATACGAGCATAACTGATCCCATAAAACAACCAGATGAGATATTTATTACTATTTTCCTCTTTATTTCTATCTAATATTTCACTGTTTCATTTTATTTTTTTTCTGGACAGAAAAAGGGAGTACGGACCCCTTGACCCTTCCGTTCCGCTCTTGTGCACTATGCTCGTTTAGTTGTGAGCCCATATAGTGGCTGTCTGTAGACAGCATGTTCAAAGATGGTGTTACATAAAACCAGGGGTATTAAAAGTGGAAATTATAATTACAGCCAAAAAAAAAAAAAAACGCACAAAATTGTCTTGTTGGCTTGTTTCATTTCGCGTAAAACTGCACAAGGGATACCTTCGCTAATTTTGAAATGATAGATAGAGGAAGGCAGCTAATCAACACCACCCACCGCCAACTTTGTGGGTTACTCTAATCAAAAAGTGAGATTTGACAGTCTCTTTTATAACGCACCCATAACTCCAAATTGTGGAGCGCGATGTTTATTATTATCTGTAACGGTACGCAACCACGGAACCTCGGATCCACAAAAAAATTGAGAGCATTCTACAAACTTACGACAGTGATGGAGAAATTGAAAAACAACTAAAACAATACGTGATAGTAGCATTGATGTTTGAACACTGGGAAATCAACTGTAAAACACAAAACAAAGTGTCAAATTGAAGAGCGCTTACAGAAAATATAAACTAAACTAAGACGTCAATAAAACGTTGGAAAGAAACGTGAAAAATGTAGCCAGAGATTTCAAAAGGCAATGGAAAAAAAAAGGTATCTAGAAAGCCCACTGTATTTCCTTCCCATAAATAAGTTTTCAAAACTATGATTAGGAGTACTATACTTTATCGGCCCCCCAGTGGCACAGCGGTATGTCTGCGGACTTACAAAGCTAGAATCCGGGTTTCGATACCCGTGGTGGGCAGAGCACAGATAGCACATTGTGTAGCTTTGTGCTTAATTACAAACAAAACAAAACAAACAAAAATACTTTATCGTGTGCCAGATATATTGTTTGATCTCCACTATAATCCTGTAATATTATGCAGTGGTTTCCACAACTTACATTGGTTTCCTGAAACTTGCGGCGTTTTATAAAGGTGAAAAAGAAAAATGCTTAAACAAACCTTCCATGGCGGGTTTTAATAAGGTAGGCGCTGATGGTGTGCAAAACTTTAAACAAGAAGTGGATAAACGCCATACTGTCCAAACAAGAAGTGGATAAACGTTATACTTTCCAAACAAGAAGTGGATAAACGCCATACTGTCCAAACAAGAAGTGGATAAACGCTATATTTACCAAACAAGAAGTGGATAAACGCTATATTTACCAAACAAGAAGTAGGTAAACGACATACTGTCCAAACAAGAAGTGGATAAACGCTATATTTACCAAACAAGAAGTGGGTAACGTTATATTTTCCAAACAAGAAGTGGGTAAGTGCAGTTTACTTTTGACTCTAGAAGGTTTCATAAAATTCATAATGTTACATTATTTTGGAAGGTTAATATTTAATAATTTGTGTCATCCGGTATTAAAAAGTTTCAAATATCTTAAAATGCTAACCCTTTTTTGTGGGAAGTTTGTTTTGTTTGTTTTTATTTTCGTGCAAAGCTACACGAGGGCTATCTGCGCTAGCCGTCCCTAATTTAGCAGTGTAAGACTAGAGGGAAGGCAGCTAGTCATCACCACCCACCGCCAACTCTTGGGCTACTCTTTTATCAGCGAATAGTGGGATTGACCCTCACATTATAACGCCCCTACGGCTGAAAGGGCGAACATGTTTGGTGTGACAGGGATTCGAACCTGCGACCCGCAGATTGCGAGTCGAGCGCCCTAACCACCTGGCCATGCAGGGCCATTTTGAGGGAAGATATCATTTGGTAATCTATTTAGTACAGTATCTGTTCCTATTTAGAACTCAATATGATATATCAGAAATTTTCTGTTAACATGACTTGTTGAAAAAAATGTAACTTTTGGTAACTTATAAGAATACAATATCACAATGTTTCCTAATTTTTAGAAAGTTAATCATTGCGAAAAGAAGTTACTGTAAGGTACTTTGTATCCTGTCTCATCCACAGCAATTCCGGACCCCAGAACAAAATACTCAATGGTCTCTTGGAACTGGACTGCCGACTGATATACCCTTTTTATCCTACTAATAACAGTAGATAACATTTTTATTGCAAATCGTGAATTGATGGGCATGTGTGTATCATGTAGTATCAGAAACTTTCACAAAAAATACTGAAAAGTAGACATCGTGAGGAAGGTACAGTTGTTACCAGTTGATGTTCTGTATCATGCAGTATCAGAGCTTTTATACAGATAGGCCTAAATTCCATTTCAAGTTACTAGGAATTACAGAAACAAATAAATAAATAAAAACAAAAGGCTTCACAAACTTCGTTTAGGCGTGCAAAGTTCTTGTAGTAACTGCTTTTGAGTTATCATTATCTACTTGATTAGCAGCTTTAGCTTCAGCTTATGTCCAAAGTACAAATTCGGTGAAGGTCATAAGTCTAGAACGAAGATCAGTGGGATATTGAATTAATATAATTTCTCGTAACGTAGCCACCAGCAAGCACGAACCTCCATGCTTAGAGCGTTCGATTTTGAAAAGAAAAAATTCACATCGAAGTCCTGCGGGTTTGTCACGCAAAGTTCGACTTGATTGTCACGTGACTTTTAGTCCTAATAGAGATTTTCGTACCTACATCTGTACTTTCTATACAGAATGCGTGTTTTAAAACTGAGTACAACTTATTTTAGTTCGGCAAATCGTTTCTCATCAGTACCGAGCGTAATTGTATTACAAAATTCTTTTATCGATTTGAACATTCTGTTTTTAAAATTTAGGTGAAATTCTTTTTTTTTTAAATTTCCTCGTTTCGTGCTGCTTCACGGAGATGTACAGTTTTCAGCAGCAGTAGTTTTAATATGTGTAATGGCGGTTACTTTTCGATAACTTTTTCTGCTCGTTTAAACTTGGCTCTTTTGAGAAATGCAGTTCGTAAATTAAACTTCATATCCGATTGTTTATCTGTTGGTGTATTGTAAAGGCTTAGTGGTTAATATTATTAGTTTAGAGTATGCATGGTTATAATGGTTAATGTTTTAACTATTTCTAGGAGGGTTGTTGAAAGCTGGTTAGAAACACTGATAAATTAGAGTATAGAAAATTAACGTATAACATACAGTTTCCGCACAAAGTAAAATTTATAATTAACGCAGACAAAATAGTGTAAAAAAATAATGTGTAGCAGTCTTTCTTCGATACAGCTGAAAATTTATGTTTAACGCTAATAATTTAAACAGTTGATGGTTAAAGCTACAAGTTTTTGCGATATAAAACATGGAATGTTGGTTGTTACAATATATTTTCTTGGCATATCAAAAATTTTTTGTTTACTCTAATAAGTTCGAATTTATATATAGTAAGTTAATGAATTTTAAACCATGGCTGTTTCTAGTGTTTTTTGGAGTATTGGTTTGGTTGTTTACACCGAAAGTTTAGAATATTAATGGTTACAATCCTAAGTGTCTTATGGTAGCCGAAATTATTATAGCAAAGGCTGTTATTATATAATTCATCTTCTATTTTTAAGATTGTGTAAAGATGATGATCACTGAAAGTATATTAGTTTGATTATTAACGCACTAAATGTTTCTGAGTTCTTGAAGTCTGCTTAATTGACTACATAATTGAGAGGTTTGTTTGTTTTGTTGAATTTCGCGCAAAGCTACACTAGGGCTATCTGCGCTAACCGTCCCTAATTTAGCAGTGA